TTGGTCCGTTTTGGAAAGCAAAGGCTTGCTCGAAACCTCATCGCTCTGTGGATTCGCTGAAGAAAGCTCTCCAGAAGACATGGGACCAGCTCGACGCGCCATACTTGCGTGCCACCGTCGATGCTTTCCCTCAGCGTCTGAAGGCTTGCGTCACAGCCAACGGAGGGATTTTCGAGATCCATTGATTGTTTGAATTATAGAAGTGAACAATAAACATGGTTGTATTATAAGTTCGTCAAAATTGTGAACGATTCGTTCAAGACGATTCGAATACCTTGTCTCCGTAATTTTGGCGCACCCTGTAGATTACAACATTAAAATTTTCGATTCATCATGCAAACGAGGGCAGACCTTACTGATTTGTTTACCGACCGATAAGGTGTTTTTCACAGACTTAACTCTCAAAAAAAATCGCCTCTTCCAAAATAGGCCCTCTTTGCTACCATAAAAAGAGCCTAGATAGCATGGTAGCACGGAAATACTTGAATTCATCGAAGCTGGGCAGACAACCCATCCTGGCTAATTATCGCAGAAACAGAGATGAATCTGCCCACCATTCCTTCTTTCCGTCATGAGAAAAATGTACATAAGCAAAAATCGGAAAAAAGCCGATGGACTTTGTGACCTGTAGTTCTAAAGATTTATGCTATACTTCAGCAACTACATTTTACCTTTAAAAGTATAGTCAGGGTACAACAAGACTATAAGTTCTAAACTTGCAGCGGCCAGTGCAGATCTAGCCTGCATGATTGTGGGAGACGTCTGCAATCTCGGATTAAATCAAACGGCATATAACCAGGTAACTGTCACGGAAGCATCCTGCTTCGTCCTTTTTATCCTGATGAAGTTCTACCACATTGACCGTACTGCACTGATCAGTTCCTTCTGATTTGGGTACCCCCAGGAGGCCCGTCGCGCGGCAAGAAGGCAGAGTCGGCGGACGAGTTCGCAGCGCGTAGTGTGCGATGTAGGACGTGCAGTGGGACACTCTTTTTTAACCCTTTCCGGACCACGCACTTTTTGCGCTCACGGCCGCATGCTGCGCGGCAAGCATAAATATTATAC